AAAAAAAAAAAAAAAAAAAAAAAAAACAAGATGAAAATTAAGACACAAAATCATCGTACACTGCAAGCTCGAATCCGCTACTTTTTTTTGATCTTAGCAGTGAACTGAGACCAATAAGAGAAACAAAACGTAGATAATGACGATCGGCAATACAGTTTCGTAGTTATACAAGTAAATATTTCACCGGAATCTCATCCACAGAATACCAAATCTATGCGATTTGAAACGGAATATTTCCAATAAAAAAGGCAGCTTGTATACAGTATGGTTCAGAAAATTGCCCATTGCGTTGAAGCACATAAGCAAGACACGTTGTCTATGAGAACGTGGACAAGAAAACGTATTGAGGTAACCTGTATTATATCTGTATCACAAAAACGTACCTGAGTGAGCAACGCGCAAGAGAACAAAGCAACAACAACAGTTGGTGTATCATAGAAAAAAAATTTTTTTCCGTAGATATAGACATTTGGTAAAACAGTTTAAAAATCAATAAAAGTTCAAGTTTCGGTGATTTTCATACTATCGTGCTACAGAATAATTGGCTTCAAACAGTCTCCTGCACCAGCAGCCAGCAAGACGAAATATACCCACGGTGCTGAGATTTTACATGCCGTACAGTGGAAAAAATTAATTGCTTTGACAATCTTAAACTGCTTAATCGTTAAATTTTTGCAAGAGGGTAAAAACCTCCTTTAAATATTCTTGCTCTGTTTCATCGGACGCTTTCAGTCTTGAAGCAATTTTCAAAAATTTCAGCGCCTGCCGTCGATCATTTTTAGCCATATAACACTTAGCCACATAGAGCAAATTATCAATCCAATTACGGGGCCTTAATCGCTCTACCTGAAAATATTGTTAAAAGTTAAAAAAAATCTCATTTTTGGTAAATTTTGTCTTCTTATCTCTTTGAAGCCTCTGAGCTCCTTTGTCTTCCTCATCTTTTCTTTTTTTTTCGACTCTACCGTAGCTTCCTAACATGTAGTTAACTGGGGCCAATATCTTTTTGATACGTTTGAGCTTCAAAATTCAAAAAATATTATTCAAGTGAAAATATTTGTTGGGGTTCTTTGTTGTTCTTTGTTGTATAAAACCCAGTAAATTAAGTACTTTTTTTTGTGGGAAGGCAAAAGAAATTTAGCAAAAAAATGTGGGTATATTTCGTCTTCGTCTATATTTGAGCATATTTAACAATTAGGAATAATTTGAAATTCTTTGAAGTTCAGCATTTTATTCAAGTCGGGACTAGTAAGTAAAAGCACGCAAATGAATGCAGGAAGACGTAAAGTACTGGTTAAGTAGTAACAATTTCATTTTAGAGCACCAAAACTTAGGGTGCATTCACTGCAGTGGAATCAGGGTGCACCTACGTTTCACACACACATTTTTTTATATTCCACAAACACGAAAAACCCAGTAACTTCAGTATTTTTTTGCAGAAAGGCAAAAAAAAATTAGCAAAAAAAAAAAATGTTGGGCATTAATAAACCTCGCCATAACTCATTTTATGTATGAAACAGAAGATAATCGGACATAGCTTAAACTGGTACCACATGGTGGTATCAGTTATATGACAGCGGAGCTGCCGACGGTTCATTTTTTTTGAGAATTGCTTAGAAGTAAAGCAAATGGCGGAATGGCTTGTTAACATGCGCAAATACCAATTTACCACCGAAGCAAGCGAACGAGTCGTACAGGATTTTGGCAATACTGGTCTCGACCTATCACAAAATGTTAGAATCTAAAATTCCTAGCAATTTCACTAGTCAAAGTTATACTTCGAGAAAGTCATTCAGTGCATCTTCAATTGATGCAGCCACGAAACTTTTGGAGAATCTGGCTGCAATTGCTTTTTCAGCCCACGACAATGTTGCCACAGCGTAATAATATCGTCCGCGCAAATGTAAAAGCATGTGATCATTCGGTTGCATGCTTAACGCTTTGTCCAGAAGCTTCTGAAAGCAAAAAAAGCTCCAGTTTCAAATTATCTCAAAAAACACCAGCCAATTCATCGGAAAATTAACTCGAATAAAAAAAAAAGAACCTTAAAAATTTGCCCTTCTTCGATTCTTTTACGGATGCCCTGGAAGTCTGTAGCTGCTCCGGTCAACAATGTTAACAATTTTAATGCATTGAAATCGCTGCTATCAATATCGTGTGCTTTTGAAGCAAACTTTTTTCCTGAAAGTATCTTAGCTTTAGTAAAAATTTTCAAATATTTCATGCTTCAAACAACACTTATGGTTCGTTACAGCCGAAAGTATCGGACTTTTTTGTGCTGGCAAAAATAGTTCGAGTTGCATAAAGTGCAACTTATGCATCTCAGCGCGCTGTGAGTGTGCAATTTTGAAATATATTCATTACATATTATAATGAAGAAAGCATGCAAATACAATTCAGTGCATTTTGTTCAACTAAACAAGGGCTGTACAAGCACATTTTTGAATTGCACGAATCCATAGACAAAAATGAGTGCTAAAGTATCTTGAGTTTATGATCATTTATTTTGTTAGAGGGCTTTTCAACAACAAAAGTGCGATAACTGAGATAATGAAAATTCTATGCATAACGCAGCTGGAACTAAATGCGCCCTGGGTTACAGCTAAGGCTAAAATTTCCTACATTAAGAGCATTTTTTTTTTGTACAAATGATATGATTGTCATCACACCATACTGTGTGTCTTGAAGCAAAATCCCGCAACAGACCTTCCAGAACGAGTTCCTCCTTTTTGTTGCTTTTTTTCTCCTCCTTTTTTGAGAGACCATAACAAGCTTCCGCATAACGCGTAAGTATAGGCGAACTCTCACAGCTGTATAACGGCATCTACAGAAAACAAGCTGTTTTAGTGTTTACGACTTTATGACTGCAACAATAACATGGTCAGATTTTCACAAGGGATGCACTAATGTTTAAACCCCCCACCCCGTCAAATCTAGCTCAAAATCGCACTCTTTATCCAAACTCGCGTCTTTTCTACTCCTGTGTCTCGACTGCTACAGAGTGGCTTTTATTTTGCTCGAAATCTATGAAATTTAGAACTTCAGAAGTTCGGAAAAGCCCCTTTTTTCGCCCTCAGATAAACTTGCCTTTTTCCTTTTCTTCCCCGAGGTAACTCAATTTTGTAACTCAGTTTGTATTCTATAACTCAATTTTTTTTGCTCAAGCGATTTCGGCATTCCGTTCAGAGCAACCAATAATCAACGATTGTTCTTATTAAAAACAATTATTAATATAACAACGAACATGCAGATCAATAATTTTTAGAGAAATATCTATAAAAAAGAGTAGTAGCTACCTGACGAATAAGTTCGTAAACACGCTGATATTCACCCTGCTTCAGCAAACCATCAAGCATAGCTATTTTCTGCAATGCAAAGCAGTTCGCAAAAAAAGCATAGCTTATATGAACTACAAAAATCTGCAATAGCTCAACCACTACCAAAAATCTCTCCAACTGAGACAGTACCAGGATGTAGGCCACAGCTAACTTCGTTAACACTCTCTCTCTTTCTCGAAACGTAAGTACGAAATCTACCTCGGCCTCGGAGTCTGTTTTACTTTTCCCTGAATCAATAGATATCTTGGCGCCCACAGTTAGCCTGAAAATTTTTGCGGAGGAAAGCCATTAATTCAAAAGTGGCAAATTAAGCAACAAGAAGCCTATCTCGTTTTAACTGAATATAAATATGTGTCGAAATCTGACCATGCATCCGATGCATCCACGTAGTTCCCGGTTGAATCAAAAGAGGCATTGCTTGGCGCACGTGAAATCGCTGCTGAAGCTCCTAAATCAAATTTAGCATTTTTTGAAAAGACTTTTGCACGGTAAGAGAAGCTCGACTAAATGAAGAGCTGCTGAAGACAATATTCGAAACTGATAATAATCTTCTGAGTTCTTAGTGGTGCAGACAGTTTTTGTTGCCTCTCGCCCGCGGTACAAAACACGACCGCGCAACACTTGGTGGTGGTGAGGGGACATTTTTACTTCCTTTTTCCTTACCAAAACAACCTTTTTCATAACATCACAAAATATTCAAATCGAAGTTGCCATTCGCCTGATGATTCTAATTTAATAAGGACAGCTTCAGCTGCTACCTACCATGATTACGGGCGCCATCAACGAGTTGACATAACTGTGCACGCATTGTGTCCACTTCCTGTCGCAGCTGACCCATTTCACTTCTGAAAACCAGTCAGAATCAATGCCCTAGCCTCGGCAATGACGCAGGAGGTCCACTTCGAAGGTCTAACTTATAAAATTAGAAAAATGGGTTTGTAATGTGAAGAAAACAGGGCAGCCCATGCGTTGCGTTCAGCAAACTGCCGAATAATTTTTAAAATCTGCTGCAGCGGTAGGCTGGCCACAAGGAAGAGGCACCGTACTTTGACGTTTCCTGCGTAAAAACACTTCCCACTAATTCTGAATCCCTAATTTGCTCGCTTATGCATAAATATATATATATATATTTTTTTTTTTTTTCTAGCATTTCTAGCCCCATTCTGCACAAATCCCTGTCCCGCTTTGCACGTATGAGTTAAATTTAGTGCTATTTCGACTAAATTTGGCGCTTTCTGGACGAATTCTGAGCTACTCCCTCCCCCGGCCTCGTTCCCCCATCTCATACTGCGCAATTTGATTTACTTTAGCAACCCCTTTTTCCAGATGCATGTTTTTCAACGCCACTTTGACTACCGCGAAGCCAGTGAATCAGTTGATTGCCGTATAAAAATAACGCCTAAATGATCACTGGAAAAAATGCCGCTCATCGAAGAAACCAGGAATTTTTTGATAACTTCGCAGTACAATTACCGCAAGGTGTTGAGCGTACGTAGCCAGACTTCCTGTTCACGTCGCCTGGTTAGTTCCACGTGAAGTGCTACTCCGCCAGCAAGTAGCAAGCCGCCAGTTCCAAGCACAATCAGCGCTACTGTCGAATGATGTGAACCGATAAAGCTACTCATACCCGCTTTTCTCGTCAATCTTGCATCGCTAGAACCAGAACACCACTAATTAGAGGCACGGGACATCGAAGATGGACAAAATGGCCGCTGGCAGAAGTGACCCCTTGACCATATAGTATGAATCGACCGAGCTCACACGTCACGCACTTCCACCAAAATAAGACCTGTGACAAACCAACCGCACAAATGGCATATAATCATTTTAGCGTACAATCATTTTTGCAAATTCGGTTTAGACAGAATCAACCGGTGAGACGGAGAACGGACGGATGGACGAGCACGACCGATCCACACCAGCGATTCCTGGTAGCATCATCCCGATATCTTGCTCGGTACAGAAAGCGGGAAGGGGAAGTCAAAATTTGGTCAGAATTCATTCTAGCCGTTGTGCACTAACAACGGAATTAAGCTTTTTCGTACAACTTTTCGGAATTAGGCTTTTTCGGCTTTTTCGTCCATAACTCCTGTCGCAAATCAAACTTTAGAGCTACTTTTACAGTTCTTTCAGCTAAATTTGCACATCTGTAGCAAAACCCTACTTCTCAGCCCGTTTTTGCGCCTTCCTGCTACATTTTGAACAAAAAAACTCAATTTTCTTCGTCTTCCTCTCCTCAAAAAAGTGGTTCTAGCATCCTTCCCGCACTGAATTTGAGAGGCTAACAGTAGCCTACTGTTTGAAATTAAAGACAAAGGATTGGACTCGTTTCCCCGAGCTGGTTATTGGATAACTTTGAAGAGGCAGCTGCCATCCCCCTTCCGCAATGAGTTGCTTAAATCGGATTTCGCAGCAGTTAAGCTCTTGACCCTTAATGCATATCACATTTCAACACCATCAAGTTGAAACTGCGCCCCCCTACTGCTCGATCCAGTCCCCTCTTGTCGCCCAGCGGAGAAAAATACAGCATCCTGGAATCAACAGCAGCAGCAGCTGCCCAATGAAACACCACCAATTTTAATGAAAGCCGAACAATACCAGCACAGAAATTTAATTTGCATGTCGTCAAAAATGCTATGCAAATTTTTTGGCCGCTTACTTTAAAAGACTAGCAATTCACGGATGAGGTTGCACTTTCGTTTTCCCAAAACAAATCAACATTTCAACATCTCTCACTTTTCCTTAGTTTCAGTGAAGGTTAAATGAATTTTCCATGATTCTACAGTACCAGGGCTTAATCCCAACTCAGTTGCACATAACTGCGGGGAAAAATTCCAGATCGCATTACAGAAAAAAAATTCAGACCTATTCCGTAACGCTGCTGTACACATGTATGGCTCTTTAGTTTGAAACCATTTTTTTTTTTTTGAGTTTTCATCTTCTTAATTGCTACCAAGAACAAAATCGACGCCTTCGAATGGTGCAAACACGCTGAGGTTGATGAACGCTTTTTATTACAAAAAAAAAAAAAAAAAAAAAAAAAAAAA